ATAATTTCGACCCAGCTAACAATGTCATCTTTAGTCAAAACTGAAGTCAAGCTAATCTTAGATCTACATGAGCTGAATACAATAGCATTATACCTCCCATACAATATTTAAAATATATTTCACTTTCAAATACATTTATAAGGTATACCATAGTGAGAAAATAAAGTCTTAAAACTTAAATACAAGACACCAGATAAAAACTTTAGGAAACACAGAAGGTTCTACTCTACAGATGACACGGTGAGTCTGGTCTGATGCTGGCGGCATGGCACAGCTCTGCCTGATGCAAACTGAATGAACAGCCAGGCGACGACCATCTGTCTTCTCTTAGCGCCACTCAAGCCAGACCCGAAGCTACTTGGCTTTCCTCTAGAAACCACGAGGCCCAGCGCCTTTCTCACAACAAGCACACGTCCCCAAGCCTCTGCCACGTGGTCACTTGGTGCTCTGCTCCAGGGCGGAGTACTCCGTCTCTGACACCCTGGAGGCATCGATGAGCTTGGTGAGGCCCGTTTTGGCTGAGTACTTGAAAATGAAGGCTTTCATCAGCTCATACCTATAGTTGCGGTTGATGAAGCTGTAGAGCACTGGGTTGACACAGCAGTGCACCAGAGACAGGCACTGTGTGACGTGCAGTGCCGTGAAGAGCGCGTTCTCCAGCTGGCAAGTGAATGGGATGTAGTGTAAGATGGAGAAGATGTCGAGCAGGACCACAGCATGGTATGGCAGCCAGCACACCAGGAAGACCACCACGTAGGAGAAGATGATCTTCCTGCTGCTGTGCTTCTCCTGGTCACCGGATGCTGAGATGGCTCTGGCCAACAGGAAGTAGAAGATGGCGATGATGGTGAAAGGAACTGCAAAACCCAAGATGACAGAGACCAGCTCCATGCCGATCAGCCACTCCCTGATGCTGTGCTCGGGGTAGAAGGACCGACAGTAGGTCTCGTTGGTGGAAGCAGATGTGACCGTCTTCAGGTAGTAGGTGTCGGGCAGGGACACGAAGAAAGCCAGCAGCCATACCAGGATGCAGACAACACGACGCACCATCTTCTTCTTGCGACTGGAGGTGCTGGTGAAGTAGGTGATGGAGAGGTAGCGGTCCACGCTCATGCAGGTGAGGAAGAAGATACTGCCGAAGAGGTTGATGGAGAAGATGAGGTGCGTGACCTTGCACGTGAGCTCTCCCATGGGCCACTGGTTATGCTGCACCAGACTGACCACCCAGACGGGGATGGTGATGACGACCCACAGGTCAGCGATGGCCAGGTTCAAGATGTAGCAGTGGGTGTCGTAGCCTGTGGTCTTGGCCTGGATGTTCACCCAGACCACCACAGAGTTGGCAATCATGCCAATCACAAAGATGAAAATGTAGATGAAGGACAACATGTAGAGCAGGATGCTTTTATTGGGCATGGCAGAGCACTGCACTGTGTCGACCATGATGCAGTCGCTGCTGTTGCATGGCCAGTTGATGTCAGAGTAGTTCCCAGGCTCTGTATAGTCAAACAGATGCACATCCATGGTCTGGAGGGGCCGAGGGGTCAGGGGAGGTGATCAAATGACCTGTAGCCAAAGCAAACAGAAGAGATGGAGAGGTGAAATCACTTCATTAGGAAAATCTCACCTCAGGTCTCCGTCAAAATGCCCGTCCCAGGCCCTGAGGTGCACAGCTGTTTATCTTTAGCTCTGTGGTGTCTTCACAAAGAAAGGAGAAAAGAAAACAACCTTTTTAGACTGTGAAAAACAAAATCAAACACATCCCAGCTACAGCCACATGGTGCTGGAGAGAGGAGGTATTTGTTTTCTGTGTCTTTTCATGGCTGTGTTATTGAGGCATCAGCTTAGCTGTGCCTGGGGTGTGAAATCAACACGGTACAGGGGCCAAAGAAACGTCAGGCAGCAGAGCCCTGGCCACAGCAATGTTGATGGCTTGCCTGTGCTCAGCAGGGGACTACAGAGCCATTTTACTGGCATCCCCCAGGAGTGGCAGCATTGATGTGCTCCTGGCGTGAGCACTACCAGTGTGTGACTTTGGTGTCTTAATGAAAGCACTTCAAATCCTTTCAATTTGTTTTAAAATGCAACTTAGTGTTTTTAACCTTTCTGCAATATCCTTGTGCTAACCTGGGTCCTTGGCTGCCCTCAACTGGCAATCACGAAGGCCACTAGAAGTACAGCCAACATGTGTGGAACACTGCTACCTGACCACTTCCCAAACCTGCAGACTCTGGCTTTGCTGTGAGTTTTCCACTGAGGGCAACCAGCCAGCTGTCCCGGGCTCCCCACCTTTGCCTGGGTTCCGTCTCTCACTTGCTGAACTGACTCAAGAGCAATGCGTGCCAAGACTCAAAGCTCAGAGGCCACAAGCCACCAGTCACACCTCTGCCAGCTGAGGCTGGCCTGACCTGAGGCTAACATTCTGAGCTGTCATGTCACACCTACTGAAAACCTAGCCCCAGAGAAGCTACTGTCAGGTCTGGATTCTCCACAGACATTGTAGGAGCTGCCGAGAGCTGCTGTCAGTTGTCCATCTGTCCGTGGTTCTGAGTCAGCTGTCAACATGGCCAAACCTTATCATGCGGCTGGCTAGCATGGGGAGGCATGCAGTCATGTGATGGCACCTGTATTGGGGTGGGGGGTAACTGAACCAGAGCCGAGATTATCTGTCAGGTTCACTTGAGATGGACACCAGGTCACACACAAACCTCCCGAAGGACAATGGTCAGTGGGGTCAGTGTCCAGGTGGCCAGGGTTTGAGAAACCACCGATTCTAGAATCCAGGGTTGGAATTCTCATTAGTGTCTGACCCAGACTTGACTGCCTGTGTCTGTACCCCAGAATGACAGCATCTACCCCAAGACGAAAGGGCCCAATGCCGAATCTTGGAGTTAGCAGGTGCTCCACAAAACGTCACCCCCAAGTCCCTGCCAAGGGGTGAGAACACAGGACTCTGCAGCTGGAATTAGGCCGTTTGCCCTTTAACCACACCTGACCTCACTAACTACCAATGCAGGAAACCTGCTCTTACTGAGTTTTCAGCCAGGAGGAAGTCAGGAGCTCACAGGGGACAGCTAGTCAGCTTTCTCCTTCTGGACAATGTGAATGGGATCTTGAAAAGAGACAACTTCTGCTGCCACTCAGGATCATCCCCAGACCCCAAAACCCACAGCAGGTGACCTCAGTTAAAGGAAACTTGTACAGGCTCTGAGTGGCTCTCAGAGCCCTTTAAAGGTTTCCTTCCTGGTGACCTAACCAGCCTCTGTGTCCCCAGATGCTGATAGAAGATCTGACCTTCAGTGACAGCTGCATCCCCTTCCCACTCTGAAAGTCCCCCATGGTGGAGGGAGGCTGGCCACAAAGCCAAGAAGGCTGACGGTCCTCATAGCTGGCTTATCGGGTAGGTTCCCAGGCCGTGCAGCCTCTGGCTTGTGAGACCAAACACAGCCGCTCAGAAGGATGCCCACAGAGGTGCGCACGATGGAAGTCAGGATATTCCGTTTAGAAGGTACTGGCCCTCTCCTAAGACACATTCCTGAGGACTAAGAAAAGACAGCACTCATCGGGGCTACAGGGAACACCTTCCCGAAGATGGGGCCTCTGTGACCTGCCGGACTGGGTGCTGAGCAGAGTGCCAGACCCAGGCTGCCTAGAACTGCTACACACAGACATAGACACAGACACAGACACACACACACACACACACACAGACACACAGACACACACACACACACACACTAGAGCTGACTCTCTACCCTGAAGCCATGACTAGGAAGAAGCAAAGCAAAAGTTCTGCTCATCCTCTGTGACTCTGAGGCATAGATCCTTTTTTTTTTTACTCTGTCCCATTAAAATAGAACGCACGTGAGCCGGAGGTACAGCTCAGTTGGTAGAGTACTTGCCTACCATGCTCAAGGCCCTGGGTTTGAGGTCAGAGCGGGAAACAGAATGAAATAGTGCCCACCTTCTATACCCTTCCACTGTCCCTGAAGAGCCGACTCTGTCTCTGACTCTGCCCTGTGCTGTGTGGGTTGCCAGCTAGCTCGAATGTTCTCAGCAGCAGAGGATGGTAGATCCCCATCCAGCCCTTTGGATTCTGCCTCTTTCCTCTGGGTAAAAAGCCTTGGTTTGGTGATCACCATACCCCAGGAGTCACAGCAATATTGGATCAGGCGCACAGCTCCAGCCACGCCCTCCTGCCTGTCCCCATTTCCAAGGCACCTTCCTTGCACTGTGGGAAGCCTCCAGCCTGAGCCCAGCTGTTACCATCCCAGGCTGAAGGAATGGGCTAAGGAAGGCGACTGCTCCTGGCCCTGTGACTGCTCATTGCCTACAGTGACCATACGCGCTCTGGCCAGAGCACCCCACCATTGACCCTCCACCTTCCCCTGGGGCCTGATGGGATGCCTCTTCCCTGCTACAGGAGGCTGGGGGATGGAACACAGCCAGGAATGCCCACAGACCAAGTGGGGAGCAGCAATCAGACCCTCCACATGTCAAGAGGGTAACTAAAGAAAACAAAAATATTCGAAGGGCCACCTGCAGCTTGGCCTTCATCACAGGACCTCTTCCAGGTGCTTTAGGTTTTAGAAATGATAAGACTGTTTCCAGAAAGGTCTAAGACAGAACAATCCATCCCCCTCTGCATGATGCGAGGTGCATGTTACCTGTGTGGAAAATACCCAGGTGAGCAGAGCCTGCTCTCACCTGACACCCTTTTTTCATGGTGTCTGTCTACCCTGGAGCAGAGAGATCTCCTCAGTTTCCTGCTTCCTCCTTGGCAAGTGACCTCTGGAGAATCAGGACAGGGAAAACTGAGAATTGTCCACCCAAATCCCCGGGCTCCACTAGTCCCAGACAAAGATCCCAGCCAAATCTGAAAGGTGGGGGGGGGGGGTCACCACTGCACTCCCAGAGTGCCCTGCACAGGAACCTATGCTCCCTCCAGCAGATGCAGGGGATTCCCAGTCAGTTCATAAGGAGCCGGCTACATTCTGCACAAATCTACATGGACTGGCCCCTGCTCCTTGAGTCCAGACTTAATGTCCCTTGGCCAGAAGGACAGGCCTGTTTATGCCAGCAGTAGGGAGGGCTGATGGCCGGGGAGACTAGAAAGAGGCTTCCCCATCCCGCTCAGACCAGTCACCCGCTGCGCTGCTGGAACCAACTCTGGTTCCAGCCTGTAGTGTGTAGGCCAGGGGTGGAGAGCAATGTGTGGTGTGATCTGGCACATGGCCTCTTCTGCGTACTCAGAGCCCAGGCTTGGGCAGCCTGGGGACAAAACCCACTTCAGGTGCTTAGAGTTACCGTAGCTAATGTATTTGCTAAAGTAGCATGTGTTTACTAGCAAAAACTGCTGACCAGCAGATGTGTCCAATAGGGGGCTGGTAGAGTACATAATGTGCATCCATTGTCTGGAATATAACACAGCTGTAAAAAGGAGAGAGAGAGAGAGAGAGAGAGAGAGAGAGAGAGAAACTCTTAAGAACAAGGGAAGTTAATGGCAAGTTAGGAAGCAGATGCACAGGCCACAGCACAGTTCCATTGATGTTGGAGAAAAGGCAAAATTATGAATATTTTATATGCAAATATATGCACAGAAAGGCACAAGATCAGCAGTGCGGGGAGACGCAGGGCAGGGTGGTAGATGTAGAGCACAGAGGGGCCCCTGAAGCCCTTTTTACTGCAGAAATGCCTGAATTATTTGAAATTTAACATCAAAATTATGTAAATTTTAAGAGGCAGAAATGACCCTTTTAAGAGCATTAAAGGTTTGTGTTCTGTTTCTCTGCACCACAGAGAATTCACTAGAACAGAAAGCAACAGCATCAGTTTGTGCTCCTTTTCCTAGTGCTGACCCTTAATTCATTCAGTCTTATCTGCCTGCCAGTGACCTTGCCCATCACCTGCACACAGACAGCACCCACCTGTGTCATGTCACACCGTCTTCCAGCTCTCCCGTGGGTCCACAGCCCATCAAGGGGCCCATTCACTCCTCCCAGTCCCAATGGTCCAAGACTTTTCTTTGTCTAGTGGAGGACTTTTCTGGGAGAGATGCCTCTTGATTCTGAGGGTTATTAACCACTCCTCAAATGTCCTGGATAACACCCCAGATGCTGAAAGCAGCCTGTGGTATCCAGCTGTTTTCAAATGGCTGGGCCAAGCTCCCTAGCATGCTGGGGTAACACCAGAATTAGAAGTCTCCAAATTTAGAGTCTCTATGGGGTGGCAGTTTGGGCTGCAATCCACGTCCTCACCCCCAGCTAGTTCCTTCCAGAGACTGCCAAGTGTGTTCAGGTGTCTGGCTGAGGTTCACCGAATACCTCAGCAAGCTGCTGGTATCCCATCACAGCCTGGACGCCCTGGCCCTTGTCTGACCTTCCCCTCCACAAGCTGCTCACCACGGAGCTGTCCACACTGCTCCCCCTCCGCACCTCCTTCCTTCAAACTCACTTTCCGGCCCCGTCTCACTACTTCTGTTCAACCACTGGAGCAAAGTGACCTGTACAAAGGAAATGTTCAATGAAATCACCGTCACCCAAGCTGCACCGCGGCCAGAGTCCTGACAACATTGGGCATCTAGAAAGGCTCAGTCACAGCCCACCTCCAGCTGATGTCCATTTCTTCTCAAAGGCTCTGGGGCAGGGGAAGATGTCAAGCCAGGCTCACCTTCCCCACAAGTACTCACCATCTAAACAAGAGGGTCAGGGAGGCACAAGGGCCTGAGTAAGAAAATGGGTGCCTCGGTAGAAACGGGGGGGGGGCAGAGGAGCCTTCAGGAAAAGGAGGGCCAGCCAGGGACATCCCAGAGACACCACTGGGAGTGACCCACTGCACCTGGCTGAGATCCAATCTTCATGAAGGAGAACAGAAGTCCGAGTTGGGTCTCAACCTGTGGGCAAGGAGGTCTGGCCTTGCCCGTCTATTCAGGAACAAAGCCATGACTTTGGGACAGAGGATTTAAGGACAGAGGGGCCACACAGCCAAGAAAGCCTGGCCCTGGATACCCTGGCACACCACGGAGCTGGTGTGCAGAGCAGCGAACACAGAGCCCCTTAAGAAGGCTTGCTGTTCCACAGAAGTCAGATAAGATAACGTGGGCCCAGCCCTGGGGCCCCCCAAACCAGCTGGAAAACAAGAGGTCCTCTGCGCCTGTCAGGACCTCCGCCTCTACTCCCTTTACAGGTTTTCTGCAACTCTTGACCTGTGTCCCACCTGGAACTTCCCAGAGAAACTCAGTGTTGCAAGGGGTGACACATGCCCAGCTGTTCTCTCTACGCGTTCCTGGAAACAGGTCAGGGTAGGTGAAGGGACCCTGCGGCCTGCCTGCACTCCAGCTAGCGGAACCGGGCTCAGCAGCTCAGGATCCTGTACAGCAGACTCCGACAGCGCTTCCATGCGACTGGGAGAGCTTATGCACAGTATGCAACTGAGGCAGGAGAGTTGGGTCACCTTCTCCGGACTGTGGGGCATCTGCCCATCATGGAGGTGATGGCTGCCTCTGTGGCTGCTGCTTAACCAAACCCTCAGTAACCCTATTTGGAACCGACGCCCAACCCCGGTGACACCACCCAGGCAGCTTTCTGCACCCATGCACTAGGCCTAAACACAGAAAGGCACCGTCCATCCCCAGCACCAAGCTATCCTGACAACACACTCACTGTGGCCCTGAGTGACCTTATTTCATGTAAGTGAGAAACCGCTTTGAATTATTTGAGACCTCAAAAAAATAATAGAGAGAACGATCCACTCCCTGATTCCGATACTGGCTACCTATTTCCAGGGTTCTTGGACAAACTGCACTTCTGCCATCACCTGGGACAGCCTCCAGTACTGTAAGCACTTGGGGACTGAATGCTCCACCTAGAAACCCAATCAGGGCCCCAGGCAGCAGAGCTGTACCTAGCAGAGAAATCCAGAGGTCCCTGTGCCACACAAAGGCAGCCTGCTGGGAGTGTAACCAGAGCCCTCATTCCCACCAGCTTAGAACTAAGGCGGGACAGTGAAAGGTGCATCAGACTTGGAGGGCTTCGCACAGCTGTTCCCAGGACCAGGTTATGCAAGCTTAGGCTTTTCCTATAAACCTGAGGGAAGGACACTCCATGAGGTACCTGTGACAATAAGGACCGGTAGAGGACGCCAACTACTTAGCGGACACAGCCTTCAAATGCACTCCCACACTGCCCAGGGCCCCCTTATCTACCACTCCACGGGCAGCAGTTCAAGGCCATCTCCACCCTGAGAGCCAGGGAATAAAACACAGTCCACTTCCAATCTTTGTGCTCTGTGAAATTTTCACCATAAAATTTCACAATCCTGGGACATTTTTATACGGAACAACAGAAGTGGAGCTAGAGGGCTGGGCAAGCCCCCCACCCTTTTAAAAAAGAATTCTAAATAAAGCAGATTCTCAAGAAGAAAAGCATCAGCCATTCCCTGCAGAAAACCACTAAGTATTCAAAGTCAAGAGCAGCCCTGCCCGTTTCCCCGTCCGTATTTCGTTCTGTCTTTAAGCTGTTTGCTTTCGTTATAACAGAAGACAGGTGTCCTGGAGTAACGTCCTCCTCTGTGGACTCTGAAAACACTAGTCACTACACGATTTCTTATCGAGTTTACCGAAACGCATAGATTCCAATTGCATGCCATTTTATTTATTTATTCATTTTGCTGTTTTGAAGCGGGGTATGTATGCTATGTAACCCAGGCTGGCCTCAAACTCATGGTAATCCTCCTGCCTCAGCTGAAATTAGAGATATAAGCCAACTCTACAACCATCTTTAAACTTCCTTTGGTTGTTTGGTTTAAAAGTACAAATGCCTTCAGGCCCAAATTCCATTCATGTTCTACAAATCTCTGAGAAGAATCTTAAAGTTTTGAAATCCTTGAGGCCCCTTCCCTCCCCCTGGTCACTCTCGGGGTTTATAAAGTGGTTGCCCTTCAGTCCGTCCCAAGTCTGAGAAACTTCAACCAACCTCACTTGAAAACGGGTTCTCTGCCCCAAAGCCTCACACAAAAAAGCTGCTGTTCTGGTTAGCCAGGGTGTGTGTGTGTGTGTGTGTGTGTGTGTGTGTGTGTGTGTGTCCTTTTCTCCATCTAGAAAGCCTATCCTTGGCCCATTCTGGGCCTGATTAGAAATCATAATACCTTCTCAGCTCCCTAAGGACCTGCTGCTAATACGGGATAAGCTTTCCTCCAAAGTCCTGACTCGGTTAAGCATACTTATGCTGCCTTGGAACTTTCTAGAACTTTAAAAAAATATTGTGACAGCAATGCATACCCCCTTTTTAAAAAACTCTAGAGGAGCGTCACCTTGTGGGCACACCCCCTTCCCCTGACTTTTGTACTTCTGCTAGCAGCCACCCACACACACCCCGCACACCCCCCCCCACACACACACACACCCACCCCCTGGAGGCTGTGGCTCAGCTCATCACTGTGCCCATGTTCAGTGTGTATGGCACAGATTGGGGAAAAGAGCAAAATGTTTCAAGCCAGAGTGTGTAGGCAGCTCCCAGTCAGAGAAGGGTTTTCCATCTGGGGCAAGCACGTATTCAGACGGGAGAAGAGCCAGCAGTTTATCCGTTTAAAATCTACAAAAGCCAAGCACAGAAACCAGAGCCTGGCTCTCCTTTCTGGTCCTGCCTATTTGAGCTCCACCTTCTCCTGAACTAAATAAAGACACACAAAGCCAGCATCTGCATCTTCAAAGAAAAACAGAAAGTTTCCACACTGGAGCCTGGCAGACTGAAGTTTCAGAGATGTCCCCGCCTAGATACCCTTAAAAAGAGGCTCACGCTCACTGTGGAGAAATTAATTCATCTTGTGAACAAATGAATGGAAAGAGAAGGAGAAAAGAAAGGGGGAGGGAGAGAGAGAGAGAAAGAGAGAGAGAAAGAGAAGAGAGAAGGAAAGAGAAAGAGAGGGAGAGAGAAGAGAGAGAGAAAGAAAGAGAGAGAAGGAAAGAGAGAGAAAGAGAGAGAGAGAGAGAGAGAGAGAGAGAGAGAGAGAGAGAGAGCCAGCCAGTCTGCCGTCTACAAGTCCTTATTCTCCTAGTGGCCAGCAGTCAGGAGTCTGGGCTGACCACCCACCCACCCCTGACCTCACTCATCACTCCCTTTCAGCCACCCTGTAACCGTCATACAGGCTAACAAAACTCAGCAATATCCACGATTTCCTTGAAGAGTAGATTTAAATGACAAAATACTAGACTTTTTTGTGCCTGTTTTGTCCCCTCAATTGAAGTTGGACTTAACACTTTCTAAGAGAACAATACTCAAAATTAGATTATCAAGGATGCAATCAAGAGATAAGATGGGGCTGTTTAACATTCACATTTATAGCTTTGAGAATAACAGGGTCTGATCATCCCCCACAGCACTGAGTTTAAATGCAGTCTAGGTTCACACTCAGCCCCGTTTTCTGATCCAGTAGTAACCGCACCTCTGAACACAGCATAGGTCTTTCTAGAATTGTGTGTTTCCAACCAGTTCTATCTGTTCCCCAACAGATAGCCGGGAGCAGAGCAGGTAAACAGTGGTGCCAAGCGCATCCCCACGCCAGCTTCGGCCTAGCCGAGCCAACATTCTGCACTCTTTACAAAGTTCCCCCGCTTCCTGGAACTTAAGCATTCACAGCGACAATCAAACTCCAGGGTCCTAAATCTCACGAATACGCCGGAAACTTCCCTCCGCTAGGGACTCAAGAAAACTTCGCTTTGCTCTCCGCGAGGAGACGTGAATCGGCTGCCCGGGGAGCAGCAGTCTGCAGCGCGGACACGCAGTCGTCTACAGCGCGGACACGCAGTCTGCAGCGCGGACACGCAGTCTGCAGCACGGACACGCAGTCGTCTACAGTGCGGACACGCAGTCTGCAGCAGCCCGAGCTTTCCGAAGCGGAGCTGCAGGCTCACCAGCCCCCACCGCGATCACCCCCACCGTGATCACCCCCACCGCGATCACCCCCACCGCGATCAGAGCTCTCTGCAGAAGCCCACTTCCTTCCAGCGCAGGGGCCCTGCCTGCTGCCACCCAGCACAGCTCTTACCTCCGGGCCGGCTGGGCTGCGGTTCGCCTTCCCGGCTGAGCTTTGCTTGGGCTCCCTCAGTGTGAGCAGTTTGTACCAACTGGATCTCTCCGGCTGGACTCAGTTATATATATAAACTGCAGGAAAGAGCCTCTAGGTGGCAGCCTTGAAACCCTCCTCCGTCCCCTCCTCCCTCCCCCAGCCCCACAGGCATGCAGGCACGCACACGCGCGCACACACCCCGTGCTACCCTCTCTAGTCTGTTGTTTCCTGCGCCGGCACTCTCTTGGGAACCCCCAGCCTCCCTTCATTTGCAAAGTCTAGACCCCATGGGGGCAGATGTCGGCAGAAGAAAAACTGAAAGAAATCCTAATGCTTTGTAAAATGATCAAATGTTTATCTGGCCTCAGGTATATCTTCAATAATCCTACGGACCCCGGGAGTTCCTTCGAACGTCTGGAGCTCTGGGGAAGACTTTGTTCCCAAGACAAATGACTCTGAACTTCTTAACTTTGGTGTTGATCTATGAGGGCTGCGTTTTCTTTGTTAATGCCTCCAAAACAGAAGTCAGAGTTTGGGTATGAGCAATCAGTCGGAACTGCACCCTATTATCCGCAAGTGAGGAAAAGTGAGTCTGAACGATGCTACTTAAACTCATACGAAATTCTTGAGACTCTGTCAGGAGGGTGATTGGCAGAACAGAGCGGTGCCAGGCACTCTCGAGACTAACCAATGTCTTTGATAAGGTCTTGTCCGGGATGAGTTTAGCAAACCCTTTCTCAACATCATCATTATCAAAATCTATATTCTTACCCAGGAGCAGGCTGTTAATAGTCCATCTAGAAATGTCATCCTTTGCAATGTTCGTCTCCAATGTCCCATTTAGTAAAATCGAGCATAAAGTGATGACCCAATCTTTTACTTTTAAAGCCACGTTGCTGTAACACACTCCCCTTTGCCACCAACCCTGCCCCCCATACACACCCCCCACGTGCAGCGCTGGTTTTTATCCGCTCTCTGGCTCTTCCGGACTTTTGAAGAGCGATGCACAGAGGCACCGGCTGTAGGCACTTTCTCCTGCGCTAAAACTTACTGAGATGTTTTTATGCCTTCTGAAAGTTACAACTGAATGTTGAAACTTGAGGACTCAGAGGTCAGAGTCTCACGTGGCTCGAAAGCCCCAGTGCTGAGAAACCAGGAACAAAGGAGATGGTTTGTTTAGACAACAGCTTTGCACTTTTCTCCGAGCTGGGCAGATCTTGCTCAGTGGGTGTGTGAGGAGCACACCTGCTTTGAGGGCTGTGGGAAGGAGGGGTCTGCTGCTACTACTAGGAGTCTGAGGCCTGGATGGGGGGTGGGTCATGACACCACACCCTGTGTCCTGGATGTGGGGGCTATCTGCCACCTCACTGCAGGACTGCGGGTGTGGTCCTGGGGGCATGGTTTGCTGCTTCCTGATGGGTCTGGGTCTGGCTGGAAGGGCGGTGGGCTGTGGCCACACAGGTCTGGGGTCCCAAGGGGAGTATGCCCTGTGTCAACAGGGAAAATCTGCATCCACAAAGAGGGCTCTGTTGCTCCTGGGGGTGTGTCTAAGGCTTGGAGGAAGAGGAGGGGAGGCAGAAGACAGCCTTGCCGTCCCATCCTGGGGCATTTGGCTGGCGGTCACGCAGACCAGGAGCAGTTCGCTGGGTGGCAGCCAGCCCAAGTCCCAGAGAGAGGTGCCAAAGCGCGTGCACACAGGCAACATGCCCAGGCACAGGCAGACCTCATCCCGCAGCTGGAAAGGCTGCAAACTGCCTTCGCCCAGAGGCGCCGAGCTCTGCCCTGGAGCAAAGCGGAGACCTGCCCTCGTGTGGCCAACCAGGGCCGTCCACTGCTAGGGACTGCTCCTCACTGGGGGGCACGGGGTATGGCGGTAGAAGGACTGAATTGCTCTCACTGATGAGCTTGGAAAGGAAAGGAAGCGCCAAGCAGTTTTTTGTTGCTATTTTATTTATAAAGGAGAATAAACTTCACTAAGTCCTTGGCTATGCTAAGGCCTGCCCTGGGGCTAGAGGGGACTGAATCCCCAGGCCACAGCACTGCAGCCCGCACCCAGCCCTCCACAGTTTTCTGCTTCTCCTTCAGCACCCAGCCCACCTGCCCTGCCCTGCACCCAATTGCACAGAATCCCCAGTACCTTATGCAGCATCCAGAGCCCCACCCCCATTCCACATCCAGCTTGCACCCAGCCTGCATTCAGCACAGCCTAGAATCCAGCACCCAGTCCCACATCCAGCCCCTAGCCCACCCCCAGGGCCCGCCAGCACCCATTGTGTACCCAGCGACTTCTGCTCGGTCGTGTCCAGCACCCAGTTCTGCTGTTAGCTCCACCAGGTGCCAAGCAGAGCTAATACCCAGCCCTGCTGGTCCCAGCTCCAGGGAGGATAACCTTGCTCAGGGAGGTAGTACCTCACTGCTGCTGGCCTGTTTGGCTGAGCCGCAGTGCGGGGTCCTATTTAATGCCTCCCTTCTTTGAGTAGGAACCTGTCTGGTAATCCACACAGGACACAAAAGGAATAGGCCACTGTCCCAGCTGACCCAGAGTTTGGTTCCTAGATGCTACTAGTTGCAACCCCAGAAGAGGTTTCATTCTCCAGTGACCAGCAGGACAAGACTGCTTCCTGCTGAACAGGTGGGCAGGACATCCTCCCAAATAACTGCAACACCAGACCCCTTCCTTGGAGTTAAGACACTTCCCCCCAAGAGATGGTCCAGCTGGGAACTGATTCTTGTGCTACCTGTCCTGCTGTGACTCAATCTGAGAGCCAGGTTCCTGTCTGTAGTAAATAAGGCATTCTATTCTTTTATTTATTATTATTATTATTATTATTATTATTATTATTATTATTATTATTTAGGTGTGTGGGTGTATTTATATGTAGATTGTGTCCTGCAATGCCCATGGAGGTTGGAAGAGGGAACTGGAGTTATGGATGGTTGTTAGCCACTGTGTGGGTGCTAGGAATCAAGCCAGTGCTTTTAACCACTGAGCCATTTCTCCAGCCCTAGACCTTCTATTCTTGCTGGGTGCCTGTAGGGACTCAAGGAACAGGTGTGTGTCAGAGATAACTCAGAGGGACCCAGAGAGGCTGCTTCTCCTCCTCCACCTCTGCTGCCTCACAAACTGACTCTTTAAGGATCACAGTAGTTTACTACCCAATGCTAGTGACACACAGGAATGATGTTTAGGAAGGTCTCTGGCCCAAGGCTAGATGTGAGCGTTCAAGCTCTCTCTAAGTGTCCCACCCACATTTTCCACTTAATCTTCGGCCCTAAAAGGTGACCCTGTTTTACCATGTTTTAATCTCACTTTTGTAATGAAGAATTTGAGGCCCAGAGAACAGATAGTTGTTGAGTGCTCAGAGGGGGTCTGCGAAACTACATTTTTCTAATCCCTCAGTGTTCCTTCCTGTCTGGCACCACAGAAAAGCAAACCTTTAAAGAAGATTTAAAAAAATAAAATAATAAAATAAATAAAATAAAATAAAAAGCCATGTGTGTCAGGGACTCAGCAGTACTGCCCAGCAGTTAGCTCCATCCCTAGCACTAAAAACAAATACATAATTAACTAACCAAATACCTTGATTAAACAAATCAATTGTTCGAGAGTATTAGCTGTCTTAGGTTAGTACCTAAAAGCTGTAAGCTGAGAACCCAGGAACATCTCCCTCTATTACGGAGGTGCTCCCAAAAGAAGGGAGGAAAGATGTCCAAGGATGTGAGCCCAGGCCGAGCCCCCACACAGCACCTGATCTATGTGGCCGTCTGCAACCCAGACAAGGGAACTGTTTCCTGGTCCTGCAGCCTTGGGCTCCAGCATCCTGCAGTTAGTGGGCAGCAAGCCCACAGTAAAACCCTGTGAGAGAGCAGCATCACCCATGACCTCTGCTTCTGTGCCATCTGCTGTATGAGTTTTGACTGAAACAGGAGTGTTCTGTGATTCTCGGCTCACCTTGTTTCTACCCCGGGGCCCATGTACCTGACACTCTTCCTGGAAGGTTCTCCCTGTGAGTGCACCTTCTCATCATTCTGAGGCAGCCTTAAACACAATGGCTTCAGAAAACCCTTCTTGACATCTGCATTGGTCACGTTTCTCACTGCTATGACGACAGGAATAAAGGACTGATTTGGCTCAAGACTGGGTCAAGTTCAGTCCATCACGGTGCAGGGCAGGAGAATGTGACCTGGCATGCTCACCCTCCCTTGTGACCAGAAAACAGAGTGCTTCAGCTAAAACTGGGGCCTGCTGGAACCCATAAGGCTGGCTCTCAGCAAACCAGTTCCTCCGGCTAGGCTCTGCCTCCTGAAGGTTCCATACGACCTGTCAAAACAGCGCCACCAACTGGGGACCAAGCATTCAAACACATGAGCCTGTGGGAACATTTTACGTGAAAACCCTATGGAGGCCCTGGTGGAAGCATCCCCTGATGCTGGGTACCTCTCTGGAGTCTGCTTCCTTCTCAGCTTTTATCACTGTCCCACACCATCAGTGAGCTGTCTCCTCTCCACTAGCACAGAAATTCCCTGCAGCAAGAGTTGCTGTCATACCCATGTGTTCCCATCACAGGGTGCTGGGGTTCGCCAATGCTGTCTTAGTGAATCACTCCAATGGTGCTCCATTTGGAATCAGCTGTTCACCCCTCCACAGGAGGAAACGGGTCAGGAACACACGAGAGAAAGGGCCGGGGGTTAGGGAAGCTTAAAACATGCACCTTGCAAAGACATCCAGGCGAACAGCTTTCCTCGGCGCAAAACCAACGTGGCATCCAACAGCCTGCGCGCTGGAAACAGCCGACACAGCCTGGTGTCCGAAAAGAGGGTGAAGGAGGGGTTCTGGGACCCCAGCCCTCTCACACCGTGTGCAGACTCTTCCCATTTTAGAGTTCCAATTCTCTGCCCAAAACATGATCTCTCTGAACTTGCCCAGTCTAAAGCCCACATGTGTGTCTTCCATAGCAAATTTGATGTCTGAACCCATCTGCACACTGGTGAGGGACCGAACCTTGAATGGTGCACTGTGCCAACACAAAGCTGCTGTTCTATAGAGGGTGTTTGCAGATTTGCCTCACAG